GGAACAGGAAGCCCAAAGTCAGCCATGCCAGGTAGGGCCAGCGCAACCAGACTCCTCCTGAGGGCTCTGGCCCACCTGCCCCCAGCCCACCACTCACCTGTCCTCCATGATGCGGCACATGTGATAGATGGCGCTGTGGCCCAGGTGGGTGCCCAGGAGGTTGCGCATCAGCTGGGGACACAGTGCACACCATCAGGATCAGCAGACACGTCCCCGCCGGAGCCCCAGGCCTCGGTCAGCCCTGCCCACCACTGCTGTGCAGCCACCCGCAGTCCAGCCAGCTCACTGCCGTCTCCTCCCAAACACAGAGGCAGCAGAGTGCCCAAAATGCCACCAAAGCCTGACCTCAGCTCCACCGCCTGGGGAAATGCCCCGACTCCCCTCAACAGATCATTGTCTGGCCGCCCCAAGTATCAGACAGCCATTCATCGAAGACAAGATGGCCCCTGTTCCTTCCATGCGCCTGGCTTAGGACCTCATCCCAGGGAGGACTTTCCAGGACCCCCACCTTCCAGCAAGGCTCACAGAGCTCCTTGACATTGATGGTGCGACAGAGGGTGACAATGAACAGAGGGAGGCTCTCGGCCGGCAGGCAGTTGTAGCAGACCACGGCATCCAGCACTTGCAGGGAGACCTGGCAGGAATAGCAGGGATGAGGCCAGTGCTGCCCAACTCCCATCCATGGGAGATGACCCCAGGGCCTCTTTCCCACCCTCCGTCAGTCAGCGACATCACCCTCCACCGCCAGGGCAGCCTCCCTTGGAACCACAGAGCCCTCCACTAAGGGTCATCAATATTACACCATCCATCCTGAGCAACAACTCCACAAGGGAGGCATCCAGCTGTCCTGATTTACATAGGAGACTGCAGAGGCTCAGAGAAGCCAAGCAGCTTGCCAGGGCTACACAGCTAATGAGTGGCAGAGGGCCTGACCCCTAAGCCCCAGCCTCCCAGAAAAGATGAAATGGACTGTCCCCTAGGGAAGGGAGTCACTGACCTCTATGTCCACAGAGGACACAGTCCGGATGCACAGCAGACAGATCATGCTGTGAAGGAAGCACCAAAGTCAGTTCAGAGGACACTTCTCATAAGGCCAGCAGTGGTGTGTTATCCTGATCATTCTATGAAGTCACTGATAGGAGTGTCATGCTCCCTCAGTGCTCCCCTCACCCAGCAAACATGCCAGAGCCTGCTTGGTCTGCTTGAACACTGTTCTCAGAGCTGGATGTTTAGCACAAATGAGACAGAGCCTCGATCTCATGCGTTGAATA